ATTGGTTTCATTATAGAATGAAAATGTCATTGGAAGAAATATTGCAAGGTTTACATCTACTTTATAAGATTCTTAGGTATTTGATACCAGATGTGAATCTCATATTTATATAAATAGTTCATGTCTGAACATGAAATTCATTTTAATGTTAAGGACAATTGTTGTTCCTGCTTATTTTGATTAAGATCTTAATGGTTATGGTAAGTTACAAAAATAACATTTATATTCTAAACACTAAGCATTCTATAATGAGTATAGAAGTTAAAAGGTATAAAAGTGATAATCTAAATAATACCTAAATCTGACATTGCAGACTTGGTCATATAAATAAAATGCAATTTCAAAATTACATAAATATGTATATGTAGATTCAATTGATTTTGAATCATTTAACAAGTGTAAAACATGCCTGTTTGGCACAATGACAAAATCTCTTTTTAGTTGAAAAGGAATAGGCCTGCATAAATATTGGCATAATACATAGTTATATATATGAACCCATGTCAATTAATGTCAGATGAGGTTTCTTTTATATCATCAATTATCATGTATACTCGATGAAATTCAAGCATGAAGTTCTTGAAAGGTTCAAAGGATTCAAGTTAGAAGTAGAGAAACAAATAGGTAAAGATACCATCACATTGAGATCCGATCGAAGTGAGAACATCTTAAAGATAAAATTTAGATTATCTAAGAGAGTGTGATTCTCTTGCAATGAATTCCTCCATATACACTGCAACGTTGTGGTGTATTTGAGCGGAGGAATCGTAAACTATTAGATATAATCCAATTGAAAATGAGTCATGCAAATCTCCCAAAGTCGTTTTGGAGTCATGCACTGATTGCAGTGCGCTATAGACTAAATCATGTCTCATCTAAGTTTGTTAACAGAACTCCGTACGAGTTATGAAAGGAAATAATCCCAATTTATCACATATGAAAGTTTGGGACAGTGACGCTTATTCGAAGCACATTGAATTGGATAAGTTTGAGACTAAATTCGATAAATACATATTTGTGAAATATTTAAAGCAGATATTTGGATATCAGTTCTATTAACCTATTGAGAAGAAAGTCTTCGTCTCACGACATATCGTCCTCATAGAGAAAATGTTTACTCTAGAAGAGGACAGTGAGAGCAAAATAGAATCTGAAAGAGTTCAAGAGTCCACAGATATAGTTAACCAAGTAGATAAATCCGCGTTTGATCCCATATCTGATATGGGACATACTCTTGATCAGGGAGTAGAGACTCCTGAGAACATGTCAGCTCTATGTGAATCTAGTAGGATCATTCCACCTTCAAGAATGTGCGAATCCATGATTATTAATTAGGTATTGCTGATCCAGGACGATGAACCTACTAATTGCACAAAAATAAAGTCAAATGTTAGCTTAAAAGAGATAGCAAGATGCCATGAAACCCGAGATGAACTCGACCTATGTGAACGAGGTTTGGACCTTGGTTGACCCTCCTGATGGGATAAAATCCATAGGTTGTAAATAGTTTACAATAAAAGGTTGACGTAGATGGATATATCCATACATACAAATCAAGGCTAGTAGCAAAAGGTAACAAACAAAGACAATGTGTTGACTTTGATGAAACCTTTTGCCTGTAGTCATGCTGAAATTTATTCGAATTTTAGTTGCAATAGTTACATACCATGACTATGGGTTAAAAAAACCTCTTGGAGCTGAAGTCTTCAATTTGATGTAGAATCAAAAGGTTTGATTTTATAAAATATGAAGACGAATCGTGTGTTCACAACAAGATAATGAGAGCATTGTCGCATTCCTAATATTAAATGCAAGACATATTATTAATAGGAAACGACATCCCTATATTTTAATCGTTGAAATTATAGTTGTTAAAGGATTTTTCATGAAAGATATGGGACAAGTAACTTGATCTATAAACATAGATATAGAAGATTGCTCAACTCATCCCAATCTACATAGATAAAATCTTGAAAAGATTTTAAATGGAGAAATTGGTTTACTCTTAAACGGTATATTGGAAAGGTTCCAAACGTGAAGCAACTGTTGGTTCAATAGTAGAAACCTAATACATGATTGCTTCAGAAGCAGCAAAGAGTTGCAATGTGGATCAAGATGTTCATTAGTGAACTTGGAGTAGTTCCTAATATTGTTGATCACATGCCATTGTATTGTGATAATAATAGAGCCACCGCGAAAGCGAAAGAACTAAGATTTCATCAATGATCCAAACATGTATTAAGGTGGTATAATCACATCAGAGAAATAATGCATAGAAATGACCTAAAGAGATGAACAAATTCCCACATTTGACAATATTGCAGATCCACTGACAAAGAGTTGTCATAGTATAAACATGCTCGTCATGTAAACTCTTATGATATTGGATACATAAGTGATTGGATCTAGTGCAAGTGGGAATTTGTAAGTGTTATACCATAGGTTCAATCAACCTTAGACATAAATACCTTTAATATATGATTAATACGATTTAATGGCAGATTTATTATTTAATAGACAATTAAATTAAATAATAGAATTCGTAGATTCAAATCTTTGTAATTTGTTAATCACGAGAACTTGTGATTGTGAGATACAAATTACATATGATTGAATTTTAAATCGTTCGTGATCGTAAGTAATAATAAGATACGGATATCGTTATTACGGATAGGTCATCACGTGTGGCATTTCTTACTTGTGAAGTAAGTAGCTGATCTTACAAGTTAAAGTGTGATGACACTTGAATGAACACGTGGATGTTTTGTTGTAGAACAAAACATTGGATACCCGCCTAGAGATTCCAAATGGATAACTATTTGAGTGTCAGTGGTTAATCTCTAACGTTCGGTAATGGGATTGGTCATTTGACTTGAGGTCATCATAGTACTTTATATGAGGACAGTCATGCTTTGACGGTGTTGGATGTTGCTCTGCTAAGGGCCACCAATACGACATTGTTCGAGTATGTTAAGAATCGTATGAAGGTTGTGAATGACCAATAGAGGATTCATCGCTCTTAGATAGTAAGAAATTATGATTTGCATTTCATTCAATCAAGTTGATAACGAAATTCTTAGCCAAGGTGTACTCATAAATCGAAAAAGAGTTTTCGACTTATATTGACTTAATAGTGGAGTGAAAGATATGATCAATAATCGAGATTGACATACTTTTATATCTTGTAATTGATTGGATCATATTGATGAATAGATTATAGTTTCACGGTAAACGAACGTGTTTGATTTTATTGTACCACGTGACATTTCCCGTCACATGTATTGCCCTAATACATTGCTAGATGTCAATCTGAGACGGCGAATGTGAATTGGTGATAAATTAAGAAGTTGTTTTAATTTGTCAATTTTAATTAGATCAAAATAATATTTCACGTTGTTAGGTATCGTGATCGGGAACCTAATGGGTCGCACACAAAAGAGAATTTGTCAATTAATTAATTTAACAAGCGTTGGATAAATTAATTAATTGGGCTGGTTATTTATAGGCCCGAATTAATTAATTGGATTAGTTAATTGGCGGACCGAATTAAATGGATTAATTAAATATTGGATCGGGTCAGACCAAACCCGTTTGGACTTATATAAATAACTGATTAGGGTTTACAATTTAGTAGAGAATTCATTATTCTTGTTAGTACAAGAAGAAAATCATAACATTGCAATCTTTTCCTCTGTGTGAATCACCGTTGGAGGTTGGACAATTGGACAGGTGTAGGTGATAGATTGAAGTTGCTGGAACGAAAAGAATGGCAAAAAGTTTGCAGAATTTTTAAAGGTACGATTTCTATCACAATTTCTGTCTAAACACGGAGAGATCCTTGGTGGAAATCGAAATTTGTTTTAATTTTTGCTGCGCATGTTTAAATTGATTCCCAACAATATCTCCCGCCTACTTTTAAAGCCATATATCATCTTCAAATGCCATTGTACACAAGACGAACTTGTTTACAATTAGTTGCAATTTTATACAATTATGTATATAATAAATTTGAATTCACAATCTTTTCTATCAATTTTGTAACTACAACATTCACACCCTAATAGGGTTGGCAATGGGACATATAAGGTTTTGGGTAAGGACAAGGGAGTCTATCAATTTTGTAACTGCTACATTTACACCCTAATAGGATTGGCAATAGGGCGGGTTCAGTTCTGAGCTGGGCGGGCTCCCTCGCCCCCACCATGTCGGGCATTTTCTTACCTCGTACCCTTCTTGTTACCAGTTTAGGGCAAGGCGAGGTTGGGCATGGTGGGGCAAAACAGTTGCCCCATTTACGTACCTGCTTAAATTTTTTTTTTTTTAATAATTTTTAATAATTCGTTTTATTGTCCTCATTCATTCAAGTGAGACAATAATATAATTATTAAATTTTTTAATTAATTAATTTATTTTCAAAAAGTTAAATTATTCAAATATATTTGATAAACTAAGGTTTTTATTATTTATCATATTCTTTAAAAAATTTTAATTGCCATCTTCTATAATAATTAATGAAATTTCGTGGATTTTTTCTATTTAAAGTATTGAATTCTTTATTAAAAAAATTTACGCTGGTGGGGGCGGTGTGGGGCCCCTTTTACTCGTACTCGGGATAAAAATTTTCACGTCCGTACCCGACCCGATTATCCAATTAAGCAAGTAATTAGGCCGGTTTCGCCAATATCGGATTCAACATATATTTTTGTCATCCCTAAACCCTAAGCTCCTGTTTGGCCCCCTTTTTGTAGAAATAAAATGGAGTGGAATAGTATTTTTTTGAAAAATGAATGGTTGAAAAAAAAGCAAAAGTTTTCGATTTACATGTAATATTATTTTATGAAAAATTATGTAATTAAAAATAGGATAGATAAAAATGAAATAGAAAGTAATGGGACCAAACACGGGCTAAGTTACATGCCGACAATTTTTAGTCTTTAACAGCTAATATGAGGCCTGGACCATCAAGTCCGAAAGGTCCATCACTAAAGGTGGGCCAACCACGGCCCTCCCTTGTCGGGCTGCCCTATCTTTAACCTCAGACAAAATGACGAGAACCAATCCATCTTCTCCAGTAGGCAAACAACAGGAAGTCAGGAAGCCTCCGCCGGTATGCCCCCCCTCCCCTCCCTCCTCACCGGTTATTTTCTTTCTCTCTGATTATGTCTCCGAAATTTCCAAATTTCTTCGTTCAGTCCCATATGATCATTAAAATTGCAGTGTTTATTAATTGCTGTTATGGATACACAATTCATTAGTTACACCGTAATACTCTTAAGAAATTTCTGTGCTAGTTTCACTCATATTCATTGGCTTATCAACTGTTGAAAAAGGAATTCAGAGTTTCTGTGATAAGGGTTTGAGTGTGAGTGGTAGTACTGAAATGGCAAAGAGAGAAGGAGAAGCGGTGTGCGTAACAGGAGGCAGCGGCTACATCGGTTCATGGCTGGTCCGTCTCCTTCTCGAACGTGGATACACTGTCCATGCCACTGTCAAAGATCTCAGTTATAATCTCTTGTTCTCATACTTGGACATTATCTTCTTCGTTGTGATTAATTTGCATTGATAAAGCATTTTTTTTTTTTTTTAAAAACTTCAATTCTAATAGTACTTAATTTTGAAAAACTTTTGTGTTCAAACAAATACTTACTTTTTTTCTTATTTTTTAATTTAAAGTTTATTTCTTTTAAAGTAATTTACTTTTTTCTAACTATCACAATCAAAAAACATGTATTTTAATTAATTTTTTAAGCTTAGCCAAAAATCCTCAAAATAAGTAACTTTTTTAGTAAGAGGGGAGAAAAAAGGTTTCCCTACTTTATTTTTAAGCTTAGCTAAACATGCTCTTAATGTTGTTATGCTACTCAGAGGATGAGAAAGAAACGAAGCATTTGGAAGATTTTGAAGGAGCTAAATCTCGTCTCCTGCTTTTCCAAATGGATCTCCTTAACTATGATTCCATTGTCACCGCCATCACTGGCACCACCGGTGTCTTCCACCTCGCTTCTCCCTGCACTGTTGATGAAGTCCGTGATCCTGAGGTCGCACCAAACGTTTCTCTGCCCATCCATATATCTATCTGTACATGCGTTTGACTTGTATTTGTAATATTTTTTTTGGATTGTTTGATGAAGAATGAGCTATTGGCACCAGCAATTAAAGGCACAATTAACGTTCTCACAGCAGCTAAAGAACTCGGGGTTAGGCGTGTGGTGGTGACCTCTTCTGTAACTGCCATCGTCCCAAGCCCTAATTGGCCTGCTGATGTTTTCAAGAATGAGGAGTGCTGGACTGATGAGGAATACAGCAAGCAGAAGGGGGTACAGTCTCTCTTCCTGTTAAAAAGAATAAATTATACGTATAAAAAGATAGATTTTGTCAGCTTCAAAAATCATAATTGCAATGCTATCCGAAAGAAAAAAGAAAGAATGGATTTCAAATCAGCTAGTTAGGTTGGTCAATGAGGAGCATGTATATAAAATTAAAAACTCATGCATTCAAATGAAGAAATCTCTATTGGATTTTTTCGTGCAATTGTTTCAGAAGGCAGGGCATACTCTGAGATATATGCTAATATCTATTGCTGTTGGAAGTTTGAAACTCGAAAAGGAAAATAAAACTGTAGGAGTTGCGATTATCAGTGCATTCTTCTTTAAAATAGCCAACCACGTGGAGGTGCAATTGACTACTGATTATTTTTACATTATAGAGAGAAAATAAAAATAAGGAAAATGTTTCTTGCACCCAATCTCAGTTGAGTGACCGTGGTTGATGATAAAGTAGCAATAAGGGAAGACACATGGATTGAAGATGAGTGTATGACATGTAGTTAGGTCAAGATAAGATGAACCTAGACGATGATATGGGCGTTCTGTTATCATTGGGACTAGACTTGATTTTGTCAACTTGTACAAATATGAAACGTCAACCACTGATGACACAACCCGTCCCGAATCATCCTAATAGACCCAACATGTGTCGTGCGCCGATGATAGATGTCAGCTAAGTGCCGAATCCACCATCAAGACAACTTTGACCTGTTTAGACTGTAATATACTTTGTAAAAATTTTGGCAGAATTTCCTCTGAATTATGGACTAAAACCACTTGAAACATATAATTCAATATCCCAAATAGTTATATATAGTTTAAAATAGGGTACACTGACCCACATAATATCATCTATTCAAATACAACACTGACAATTCGACTTTTGCAACAATTTATAAACCATAGTACCCAAAATGCATAATATATATACAAAACATAGCATGCCCAACACATAGAACTAATTTTTGACCAAAAGAGGTGTTTATCCCAAAATATGAACTATTAAACTGAAAAGATGATTCATACAATGCTTAACAATCTATGGCTCAACACGATAGAACAACTGGCCCAGTAGTGCTCAACTCAGCTACTATCTGATAAGAGAAATAGTGATAAAAATGTGAGCCTATAACTCAGTGAGTGGATATTTGTAAAAGTATACTTTTCCATTCATAAAATCTTTCTGAAAATCAACATATAGCATAAAATTTCTTTCCACAGACATATAAACTAAAATATTTATTATTTAAACTGAATAAGCTGAATTTTCTAGCTTAAAATCTGATAATACTATCAAAACCAAAATATACTGTAATCATAAACATCTTTATTCTGTATACTGCATTTCTAAAATCTGATAAGCTATGTAATATTGAAACATCACTTCGATATATATAGCAAGGTTATTCAATTCTGAAATTCTGTTATCCTGGTCGTACGCGCGCAGGGCTATAAAATAGTCAGATACTATGGAAACACATTCACAATAGTGCAAAGTGGATAAAATCACTATACTAATCATACGCTGTGGAAACACATTCACACTAGCGTAGAGTGGGTAAAATAACAATATGAAGTCATACACTGTGAAAACACATTCACACCAGTGCATACGAAGGTAAAATCACCTGGGTACATTCTGGTGGTTTTTAGAAATAACTTTAAATATTCTGAAACACGTAATATCGATAAAACATACTAATGAAATGATTTAACTAAACTGGATCAAACTTTAAAAACAACTGTTTATACATCAAGTTTATTATGAAAATCATGTTATCAAATCAACTATATGAAATAATAAATTTTCTGATTTAATTTAAATTGAATAAATACTTATTGCTGAAAAATAAATTTTCATCCACTCAAATAATACAAGCTGAACCTAAGATGGTCGGTAGGCTCTTCCAATCTCCTCAATACCTCGACACCACCTGAAATACATAACAAGATGACTAATCAACCACTATTAAATTACGAAACTTTAAGATCTACTTCTATAATACTTAACTAAAATTGGTCGATGCTCGAATGAATTTTCCAAATATTCTTTTGATCAATTGGAGCTAATCCCACTTTCTAATCCTTTTTCTAATAACTAATTCATCAACAAAACCTTCTTCCCAAGTTTAAAACTAATTTTACTCTCCAATCTAGTGAAACTAGTAACCATAATTCCATCCATTTAATATACATTTTGTTTCATAAAATCAACTCCCAAGTAAAATATTCCATTTATATAATCATTTCCACAATTAATTAATCAAAAATCCAAAATTGAATTGTAGGGTTTCCCCAAAAATTTTACTGCCTACTGAAACTTAATTAATCCCCAAGCTTGAGCACCAAATCGTACATATATCACCTAAATTTGACATTGTATTACTCCAAGTTAAAATCCTAAAAATTTAACATAAATCATATTTCATCACTTGAAACAAATGGAAAAATTCATCCCAAACTTGAAGAGATTAACCTTACCTTACTTCCTCTTCTTCCCTTTTCTTCTTTTCTTCCTTCTTTCTCTTTTTTTCTTCCTTTTTCCCCAAGTTTTTCTCTCTTTCTCGCCCTTCCAGCTTGCTGCCCCTTTTTTAGTGTGTGTGAGTGTGGGTTTTTGAGAGAAAATGTTGGTCAAAGGTTGAATATAAAGTCCCACATGTTCAATTGCAAAGAAAGTCCCTTAAATCTAATTACAACATACAAGTAAATCCTCAACTTCCAAAAATATATAAATAAATCCCAAAATTTTTTATTGTCCAACTTAACCTTCAAAATATTTATAATTTATAAGATAAACCCAAATAAAATGATTTGGTCAGTCAAGTCCCAATAAAAATGATTTATTTCATACAAGTCCTCATTTGACTTGACTTTGAAAATTTAACTATTGATTTTGACTAGATTAAAATGTGTGTTGTAACAACTGATGTCCGATTTACTTTCTGAGGATGTTATCGACTCAAACCATCTCGCAGTTTTGTTGGTGTAACAAATAAAAGGGATCCAGGGGGACAAACATAAGCGAGGGAAGGTGCAAAGTGATTTAGGAAGATTTCTTTTTTTATGCATGATGATGCTCCTCCTTCCCGTGGTAAAGAAGCATGCCAAAATTCAGATAACAATATTTCGTTGGCAAGAACAAGATATATATATATATATATATATATATATATAATGCTGACTTTAATGGAATTTTGTTGTTCTCTGTGTTAGCTATGGTATCCCCTTTCTAAAACACGGGCTGAAAAAGCTGCCTGGGAATTTGGCAAGGAAAACAATTTGGATATTGTTGTGGTAAATCCTGGAATGGCGATGGGCCCTATTATCCCTCCGGCATTAAATGCTAGCATGCTAATTCTTCTGCGCCTTCTTCAGGGTAATTCTAATTTGAGATGAATTATGAGCATAAACTGTTCTCTAATTTATTAAAAAGAACAGATAGATTATCTGTACTACTCCCTTTTACACTCCATCTGTGTTCATGCCTAGTTTCAAGATTAGAATCTTAGTTGCAATCAGTAGCAAGCACTGATCTTTTTGCTAATTGTTTAAAAAAATACAATGATAAAAACTTCATGCAGAATTATTCTTGGGAATAATGTTGAGATTACTTTTGTCATTTTTCCCCTTGGATTTTAGGCTGCACTGAAGTATTTGAAGATATCTTTTTTGGATCTGTCCATATTAAAGATTTGGCTCGAGCACACATACTGGTGTATGAGAACATATCAGCAACTGGAAGGCACTTGTGTGTTGAAGCAATCTCTCATTATGGTGATTTTGCTGCTAAGGTGGCGGAACTTTTTCCGGAGTACAAGGTTCCAAGGTATGGTGCTTTGATTGCATATTTTTGTAAAATATCCACACAATTTGAACTCTGAAACGATGGTGGAATACAAAGAACTTATTAAAACTTAAAGAGAGACTGCATTGTGTTTATGGACTAGTCCAATTTCATCGACAATTAAAAAAAAAAATGCCTGTTTTTAAAATTTTGTATCTATGCCGTTTTCTCTTGACTTGCTCTCTCAATATATTTGCACAGTCTTTCTCATTGATGATTCTCAAATGCAAGTATTGCTGAATGTGTTGGCACTTTTTGTAGGCTGCCCAAGGATACTCAGCCTGGGTTATTGAGGGCCAAGGACGCGTCGAAGAAGTTAATGGACTTGGGTCTCGAATTTATTCCAATTGAGCAGATTATCAGGGATGCTGTTCAGAGTTTGAAGAGCAAAGGCTTTATTGCATAAAAATTAATTTGCGTGCTTTGAACTTATGAATGTATTACTTTTATATTGTTATGATTTGGGGTTCCATTTTAAAAAGTTGAACTTATTAAAATGAGTGATCTAAATCCTTATATGTTGGTCTGTATTTTGATATTTAACTAGTGTGGAACCTATCATTTAAACATATAATGTACGAAATTGGGATTTCGGGTGTTCATTGAGGATAATTATGGTGAATGGAACTGTATCTTAATGTTGTGTCGTTTTATTTATCTTGTAGGCATGCATATCGGAGTTTTGAGGATTTCGAGTGCAATTTTAACTAGATTTGGAATTAGCTTTTAAAGTAAAATCTTGAGTTTTTCTTCAATATCTTGATTCAAATCAGGATTCTTTGTAATAAGTGATTTGCTTATGTCTGAAAACTGTTTCTTGTGTTATATGTTATATACGGGCACGACATGGAATGAAGGAGATCAAAATCAGCATGAACACAATATGCCCCAGTTTGGCTCCCTTTAAAATTCATCAATTTAATTTAAATTTTTCTCTCTCTTATTTTTAACTACACAATCTTCAATAAAATAATATTTCATGCAAATCGAAATCTTTTCATTCTTTTATAATCATCCATTTTTCAAAAAAAAAAATACTATTAATTTGCAAGTGGACTATAATGCCCTTGTTTGAGCCTTATTTTTTTGAAAAAAATACATTCTTAAACAGTGTTTTGACATCATTTCAACTACACATTCTTCAATAAAATAATATTATACGAAAATCGAAAACTTTTCCTTATTTTTTAACCATACATTTCACATCATTATACTATTCAAAAATGCATTTTCTTGGCAAAAATGGTGCTCAAACAAGGGCAATATCTATTTCTTTTTTTTTTTTTTATTGAAGGAAATTCGTAAAATTGAGAATAAAATAGGTAGAAAATAAAACTTTAAAGAAGAAAAAAAATAAGTAATTAATTGGACACTTGATATCCCCTATTTGGCCCCCATTTTCAGAAAATGAAAATGGTTGAAATATTATTTTTTTGAAAAATAAGTGGTTGAAAAAGAAGGAAAAATTTTCGATTTACGTGTAATATTATTTTATGAAAAATTGTGTGGTTGAAAATATGAGAGAGAAAAATGAAATGTAATGTAATGAAATTTAATCGGGGCCAAACGGGGGCTAATATTACAGCGAGTGGGTTAATTGATCCAGTATTTTTCACATTGGGCTGAGGAGACAAATATTTGTTTAAATAATAGAATTTTTTAAAGAATAAATCATTAATTGGAAAAATTAAATAATTATTTTTTGTTTTTTGATTTTCAATAATATGTCAAACTAAAAAAAATTGTCGATATAACATTTATACATTTTGTGCAAGTTTTTTTTTTCCTATATATAAAATATTGGGATCAATACATAAATCCTAGTTCTAAAAATTACATTTCATAAATAACAAGCTCACTAAAATATTTCAAAAATCAAGTGGTAAATAAATTTATTAAACATTGAAATATAATATAATATACATTAATTATTTCCACCCCATACCACCTCATCCCACTACACTATCTTCCGTTCACTTCTTTACTGGAGATGGCCATCAGCTCTCGCAATTGCTCCAACAATCGCTCCGACGATTGCTTCGGCACCGGTGATAAAAAAATCTCAAAAAAAAAATAAAAAATCTATGCTCCACTGTAGAAAAATATTCAAAAATTTATCTATAAATAAATTTATTGTTTGTGATTATGCATGTGTTTTATGTAACTAGTTGTGATCAAACTTATTATCGCTGTGACCATACGTAATCGTTTAATTTGCAATTGTATGTAACAAATTCACTGATCTATGTTATCTGTGATTAACTATAACCAAATTTGTATTCAGTATAACTGTCTGTGACAAGGTCAACCTTAACTGTGACCAAGTTACAACTGGTCACAATTAACAAAAAATTGGTCACGAACAGTTACAACAAACCCATACTTGGTCACATGGGGTCACCACAAAACTCTAGCTAAATAATAGAACTGATAAAAAACACTACCCATCCTTCATCGTTACAATCAGATCAAAAAATTCGCTTGGTTAATCCTTAAAAGTTCAAATCAATCTTTCCATCACCCTTCAGCATAACAAAAATGCCTAGATACACAACAATCTTTTTAACCCACAATTCATTGATGCAGCCAGTGCACTCGACCTAAAATCTGACACCTTTAGAATTTCATTCTCATCAGTAGTAGATTTTTTTTGTTTCAATCACAGCGGTAAACACAAATTTGAGGTAACAATGATCAAGAAATCCAAGATGCCATCGTCAAAATTCTACAATGTTCAAGTGTGCCTCACCCTGTCCTGAGCTTTCAGCATCTCCAACTCCACATTCTACTTCGTCGAAAAAGCACACTCTGAAGTCAGGGCTCTTTTGACCCCGCCCACCACTCTATGTCAACACAAATCATTGGCTCCTAGTCTCGCACTACTAAGTTGTTGGATTCATTGTCAGCGGTCTCACAACGCCGTTAAGGTGGGTAGTTGCCGGAGTTAGAGGATGACTGTTGAGGTAGGGAGAGAGAGAGAGAGAGAGAGAGAGAGAGAGAGAAAATGAGTAGTGATAGAAATTTTTTTAGGGATTTTGAAAGGGATGATGCATGGTTAGGTGTGTCGGGTAGGATTTGGGTAAAGTGGATATGCATATTAGATTTAATTAATTTTTTATTAATTATAATTATTAAAAATTAATTATCTATGATTTGTGAAATAAAATTTAATCCCCCTATTTTCTGAAAATTAATCTTTAAAGGTAGGCTTTTAGATAATTTTTCCTAAAATATTGTATTAATTAGAGTCTGTTTGAGCTCCATTTTTATTAAAAATATATATTTTACTATAGTGATTAACGAAGAATGTGCAGTCAAAAATAAAAAAATAAAAAATTTAGTTTGCACGTAATATTATTTTATTAAAAAATGTGTTGTTTAAAAAAGAGAGAAAACTATATTTTAAAAGAGAGATGCTACACTACCAGATTCATTTACATTTTACAGGTAAGTGGGTGTGGTATTATTTGTGCTATTTTTTAATTGGGTGGGACCTATCCCATTGTGAGTAATATGTACTAATTCTAGAGAAATCAAACTGGTAGAATAGCTTTTTCCATTTTAAAAATAATATAGATCTAACAATGACTTAACTTCATATAAAATATCCTTCCGACATTCATATATATAACGAAATCATTTTTTGTTCCCTATAATTTTTAGCGCCTGTGATATCGACCCACGTGCACACCTTCATGGTCAGCCTTGGGGTTCATGGGGATGATGAAACTTTTTCTTAAATTTCTTTTTTATCGTTATTTTTATTTTTATTTTTTTGTGATATTCGAGCGTCATTTATCACGTGACTATCTTGTTTCTTTTGATCGACAAATTAAGGATGGGAAAATATATTCACACTACATTTTTATTAACTAAACTATATTTTAATTGTATGAATGGTTAATCATCTTTATACATTATTACATTTATGTCTGAAATTTTCTCATTACATTTTATTTTCAAGTTAACATAAATTATTCATGATTATGATTTTTCTCCATATTTTTCTTTAAGTTAGAGTATAAAAACTCATTTGTCAATTGTATTTTAAAACAAGCAAAACAAATAATAATGTAAAAATTATGATTAATGACAAGATTTTATGATCAGGGAATTGTTATAATAAGAATGCGATGAAGAAAAAATTAAAGATATAAGTTTGAAAATTAAAAAAGTTAATGATCTTTAATATGATTAGATTGCGATGTATCTTTTTATAGCATGAAGATAATGAAAAATAATATTATGAATTCATTGTTTGAACATCTAGAATTGATATTTATTAGAAGATTAAAATCAATATTTTATACTGAGCTTAGCTGAGCGGACTTGTCCTAGATGTAAAATAGAGAGCAACGGAGGGATAATTTTCAAAATGGTCGGATCAAATCACTTAACATTTTCAATTGATAAAAGGTCTAAATTATCCTTAATGAATTCAAATAAGTATATTGCAAAATTAGTTCTATCTTTTAGGTTTATCTTGTATTCCTTCTATTTTGAATATCAAAATATAAATCCATTCTATGATCTAATAAATTAGAATAATTTATAACATATTGTTTGTATTTTTCTTTAAGTCTATTATATTCTTCAGATAGTATATTAATATTTTCTAACTGAGAAGTAATATTATTTATATTTTCTAACAATTTTTCTAGTAAATTATCTAATCTTTTAATAGTATATCCTAGCATCAAACTATCAATATTATGATAAATAATCCCTAAGTTTTTCTTCTTAGACTAGAATAAAAGTCATAAGAACTTCATAAATAACATGAGTGCAACAATTAATGCAAGTAGTTGATATAAATAAGAAAGATCTTACAGTATTGAAGCAGAAGATAAAGACAGAGTAATATCAATGAGATTTCCCTTGAGCTTGCACCCATATATTAATATACGCATATATAAGTGATCGGTGCTGATTGAATTTAAGAAAGTGGGTTATAGTCCAACATGACTTCCGCACATAATTGTTTTTCTCTCTGACTCTTTTGCACATCTCACAATGGATCACACGGAATCACAGTTTTCCTTTCAACTCCTTGTTAAAACATCACCTTGAATGGTAACAGGATTCTCAATGCTTTCTCAATAATGCTAAAAACACCTACATACGGTAAAACAGCAACAAGATACTTGCACTAACCCTCAAGGTTTTCACCGTTGGAGTATAAGTAAGAAAAAAGTTTTTGATAAAGTAATAAGGATGAGAAAACACCATTTTCAAACAACTTTTATAAACACATCACACTAAAATCTCTCACATAAGAGTACATATATATACTTCGGCTACACTCTTGGTACTTTCTCTAAGGAAATTAGAATTCCATAGAGATTACCTTATTACACACTTCACTTCAAAGAAAAAAATTTGAAATTGTTACAAGACTTGGAATACAAGGTAGAAAGATAAATTTTTTATTTAAGACTCCCTCCTCGCTCTTGAGAACTAGTCTTCAATTTATAGACTGGAAAAAGCTCCACAGTTGTCTTTCATTATTGTTGCTTTAACTGTGTAAGATATTGGGTATCTTACTATGGCCTAAAGTTTTCTTGTCGTAATCTGAAAATAATTGAGGTAAACCCACAGTTTTTCTTTATCAAAATGATTTTGATAAAGTAGTGATAAATGGTCCCTTA